CCCGCCACAACAACTGGCTATTTTTTGGATGGAACTGTCGTTGTTTGGCAGGTTGGGGCTAGATTCAAACCCACCAGCTATGGTGCATGCGGCTGGCCCCCTAGCTGCTGAGCTATAGGCACTGAGCCAATCATTCCCTTCCTTAAAACTCCTCCCTTCAAAAGATCAAAATTCTTGAGTGGCAACTATAGCTCAGTGGGTAGGGCACCAGTCACATACACTGAGGCTGGAAGGTTCAAACCTGGCCTGGGCCAACTAAGACAGCAATGACAACTGCAACAACAATAAAAAATAGCTGGGCATTGCAGCGGGCACCTGTGGTCCCAGCTGCTTGGGAAGCTGAGGCAAAAGAAACACTTAAGCCCAAGAGTTTGAGGTTGCTGTGAGGAGCTGTGACGCCACGGCACTCTACCCACAGTGACAGCTTGAGACTCTGTCTCAAAAAAAGAAAATCAAAATTCTTTAATTATACAAGGCCCCTTCCTACTTCAGCTCTTAATTCTCTTTCCATCCATTCAATCTAGTCACAATGAATAATAATTAAGCATATTTAAATCCACCACTTTCATAGTACTATGCCTTTACCTTTACCTTCGTCTAGGATGCCTTTCCCACCCCCCACTCACCACCCTTCTTTACTGATAACACTACAGAAAAGGCTTCTAACTTCAGTATAACTTTGGAATATCCTATTTCTAGAATTCGTTACAACTCCATGATTCTATACCTAACTACCAATGCTGTTTTTTTTTTTTTGGCACATTCTGTTGCCCACTCTGGAGTGCTTGGTGTCAGCCTAGCTCATAGCAACCACAAACTCCTGGGTTCAAGTGATCCTCCTTCCTTAACCTCCCAAGTAGGTGGAACTACAGGCACCCTCCACAACGTCTGGCTAACTTTTCTATATTTTAGTTTAGCTGCAGACTCATTCCTGCTCAGGCTAGTCTTGAACTCCTGGGCTCAAGGGATCCTGCCACTTTGGCCTACCAGAGTGGTAGAATTACAAGCATGAGCCACCGAACGTGGCCCCAGTACTTAATCTTAACTATTCATTAAATCTCCATTTCCCCAGCACAGTGTCAGGCCCACCATACAAGTTTAATAAATATTTTCTTAAAGAATCAATGAGTGTGTGCGACGCCTGTGGCTCAGAGGGTAGGGCGACGGCCTCACATACCAAGGGTGAAAGGTTCAAACCCGGCTGGACAAAAAGCCCGGCTGAACAAAAAAAAAAATAGCCGGGCGTTGTGGCAGGCGCTGGTAGTCCCAACTACTTGGGAGGCTGAGGCAAGAGAATCGCCCAAGCCCAGGAGTTGGAGGTTGTTGTGAGCTGTGTGACGCCACAGCACTCTACAAAGGGTGACAAAAAAAAAAAAAAAAAAAGAATCCATGAGTGAATGAGGACACCCACATACCAGAAGTAACCTCCACAAGAATGTGGTCATTGTTTCATGCACTACTGCACCCCAGCACCTAGAACTAGCTCTGACATAACGGACATTAAATATTTTCTGAATTGTGTGCCTTCATTATCCTAACTCTTGCAAACTTTGCTTTGACCTCAAACCTCCTTAGGCGTAGGTCCTCGAGTTATTTAGACGTGTACTGAGGATTAGGTATGGGGAAGAAGGGACAGGATTGTCAGGCTGGACAGGTCTGTCCCGTGGACGGCTCAGAAGTGCTGGGGTGCCAGCACAAGCAGGGGCCAAAATCCGCCCTGCGGTTAACTCTGCCGTGAATCCTGGTAAGGACAACACTAAAAGTAAGAAAATATAAGGTGTGCAGGACAAAAATACGGGAACTAACAAGGACTCAAACAGAAGAAAAGAAAGAGGAAAGGATGAATGGTTTAGAATCAAAGGAGTCAGTCGAGAGGTTCTCGGGTTTAGGACACCTGGGGGTGGCTACAGTTTGGCTACACTTTGGGGGGCCCTGGGCAGCGCTGGGACAGGGATTGAAGGACAGAACTGAGTGGAAACAGGGCGTATCACGACAAAGGAACCTCAAGGCCAGGACTCACCACCTCCCCCTGCTCCGCGGACTTGTACACTCCAGACACCATCTCGTTATGGAGAAGCAAAAATAACGCCTCGTCCGCCATTTCCTGCTTATTCTTCCGAGCTCCGGGATTTGGCTACCGTTTGGGCCAGGCCCGGGGGTTCCGGCGGGCGCCGCGGCTCCCGAAACCACGGCCCAGTCCCTCGTTGCTAGGAGACCGAGGAATTCACACGGCTTCCCAAAGGCAGATACTGAAGTGAGTCTGGTCCCGGGGAGAGTCCACCCCCAGGGCCACCAAGCCCCAGGGCCGAACCACAGAATCTGACAGCCGCAGGAACCCAATGCAGCCCGCGGAGACCCGAGCGGGCCCTGGGCGGGGGGGCGAAGAAACAACTTCCGGTCCCCTCTACCCCGGCATTCCGCCAGCTCTATGGTCGCCGAGCTCCAGTCCCAGGCCACGGGTGAACTGCACTTGCCCAGATTAAGGATGGTTCCTCCTCTAGGACGTGGAGGCAGGGGTGATAAGGCATAAGGATATCCCGCTACCATCTCCGTGTTAATTAGCTGTAAAGGTTAAAAATTAACGAAATTTCTATTGGCTTTATCTAAAACCTCCATTTCCTGTATATGTTCTTCAGTATGAAAAGTTGTAAAAATTTTCAGACCGTAAATTTTTGCTATGTTGAGAAATCACAATCTATATTGGATTAAGCCAGGATAGGCAAAAAGATTTAGGGCCATTTTGGCTACCAAGAAGTTTACTGGGAATGGGGTGCAAGGGACAAGGGGAATAGGATAAGCAAAAAACTTCAAGATATACGTGAACCACAAAATACAACTAAACAAAGGAATAGAAATAGAATAGAAAAATGTGTCCCCGAGGATCTATGGCAGCTGTGAGACAACTCTTACAGAGGTACAAATGCGTATGCTACAGTCTGGCTTAAACCTGTGCTTAGCCTGTGGTTCTTTTCTTGATAATTTGCAAAACAAATTTTTTTCCCAATTAAATTTATTGTTTCTACAAAATTAATGTATTGATTTTTCTCAAATAGTTAACAATAACCTCTCAACTCTTCGTAACCTTTCTCAGGAATTTAAGATCATGCTCCGTAATTGTAATTATGGTAGGTTCTTTTTTTACACATTCCTTATAGTGTGGGATCAGTTTATTCCATTTATCACGGAAATCAAGCATGAAAGTTCCACCTCAGTCTTTAATAAAACTAAATAGTATAATTTCGAAGAGTATTTTGCCACCATAATCTTAATTTTTCCAGCACTAAAATTTCCCATATATGAAATCATGTCCTTTATGTCTAAATTGCATTCTCGCCCTCATTGTCATCATCAAGAAACAGAGTACAGGCTTGGCGCCTATAGCTCAACCGGCTAAGGCGCCAGCCACCTACACCTAAGGTGGCGGGTTGGAATCCCCAGCCTGGACCCGCCAAACAACAATGACGGCTGCAACCAAAAAATAGCCGGGTGTTGTGGCGGGCGCCTGTGGTCCCAGCTACTTGGGAGGCGGAGGCAGGAGACTCGCTTGAGCCCAGGAATTGGAGGTTGCTGTGAGCTGTAATGCCACGGCACTCTACCCCAGGGGACAGCTTGAGGCTCTGTCTCAAAAAAAAAAAAAAAAAAAGAAAGAAAGAAAGAAACAGAGTACAAGCCACCACTGAGGTTAAAAAGTAAGCAGTTGACCGATTTACCAAGGTTGATTTCTCAAACCACAATAACAAGGTTTTTTTTTAGTCTTTTGGAGGACAGAAAGGATTGAGAATTTACTAACACATAATTCTACTGATTTGTGACTGTTAAATTGTCTAGGATTCTAAGAATAGGTTTCAGGGAAGGAGAGATAGATCCTATTTGGGGGGTTAACTCTAAAAGCATTTTCACAGGGAAATTTGTTACAATTGGTGAACAGCACTCACTTGCCTCAGGCATTCCCTGGGGTTGTACAAAGTGTGTTGTAATGAGATCAGTGAGACTAAGTGGGGTCACAGTCAGAATTGTCCTCAGCCCTGTTACTCAATTTTTTAAAGAGAAAACATAGAAATGTTTTTTCTTCTTTTAAAAAAATTACTATTGGTTGGGCAATGGGGCTCACGACTGGAATCCTAGCATTTTGCGAGAGAGAGACAGGTGGATTGCCTAAGCTCAGGAGTTAGAGACCAGCCAGAGCTAGAGCAAGACTGTTTCTAAAACTAGTCAGAGTTGTGGTAGGCACCTGTGGTTCCAGATCCTCGGGAGGCTGAGGCAAGAGGATCACTTGGGCCCAAGAATTTGAGGTTGCTGTGAGCTGTGACGCCACAGCAGTCTACCCAGAACAACAAAGGGAGACTCTGTCTCCAAAAAAAAAAAGTATTTATTTAATTTGAGACTGGAATAGGCGTGTTTGGAGAAGTTTCACTATAGCTCCCAGGCTTGTCTCCAACTCCTGGGCTCAAGAGATCCTCCAGCTTCAGCCTCCCGAGTGACTGTAACTACAGGCGAGAACCACCACCCCCCAGCTACTTTTTTCTATAGCACTTTACTTTTCTAAGGTGTTGTGTAATTTATGTTTATGGTCTGCCACCAATCTTCTTCCCGCCAAGCGTCTTTGGAGACGTTTTCTGTACACTTACATATCCAAGTGCCTAGAACAGCACTGGCTTATAGTAGGTACTCAACAAACATTTTATTTTTTTTACTTTATTTTATTATAATTATTATTTTGCAGAGACAGAGTCTCACTTTATCGCCCTTGTTAGAGTGCCTTGGCGTCACACAGCTCACAGCAACCTCTAACTCCTGGGCTTGGGCGATTCTCTTGTCTCAGCCTCCAGAGTAGCTGGGACTACAGGCGCCTGCCACAATGCCTGGCTATTTTTTTTGTTGTTGTTGTTGCAGTTTGGCTAGGGCTGGGTTTGAACCTGCCACTTTTCGGTATACGGGGCCGGCACCCTACCCACTAAGCCACAGGCGCCGTCAACATTTTTAAAATTAATAAATGAACTTTGCTCCTTCAGGAGCCTCCAAACTCTACAGAAGTCAGAAAGCTATCTCATGGCTTGGCACATGTGGTTCAAGCGGCCAAGGCGCCAGCCACATATACCTGAGCTGATCAAGTTCAAATCCAGCCTGGCCTGCCAAACAATGACAGCTGCAACAAAAAAATAGACGAGCGTTGTGACTGGCACCTGTAGTCCCAGCTACTTGCGAGGCTGAGGCAGGAGAGTTGCTTGAGCCCAGGAGTTGGAGGTTGCTGTGAGCTGTGATACCACATCACTCTACCCAGGGCAACAGCCTGAGGCTCTGTCTCAAAAAAGGAAAGAAAGCTATCTTGTTCTGGTCTTTATACTCAGAGTCTATCTTACTGTTGATACTGTGGAAGCTTTAAAAGGTTGTTGGATTAAAGTGGTGGCTTGAATTTAATAGTCCACCCAACTAATGGTTTGTACAAGCAGGTTGTCTGGCTGAGACTATTCACAATATTGCTTCTGTGGCGAAATGTTTTCTGAGTATATACAAAACTTGTTCCCACGTTGGTAGTGCATGTAGAGCGAAAGTAGGAGCTGGACAACACAACACACACTCCATTAACAGTAGGACTTTTCCTCTAGACCCAGTTTTAACCACTCTAGGCCCGCTGAAGAGGCTAAGTCAACTATGTCTGCTTTGTCTGTCTTGTTTCTAGCTCAGCTTTGCATAGGATCTGATCAAAGCCTGATTCTCAGTTCGCGTGAACCAAGGAGCAGTTGTATTATCTGCAGTATCAATTTTCTTTTAAGAGGCATTTTATCCAAGCTTTAGTTTGGAAGGAATAAGGCATGTCACACAGAGTCCTGGACAAAACCAACACCTAACATGTTAGCTATTATGATTGCTGACTTTTCCCATTTCTCATTCTTCACCTTCTGCTCACTTTACCCAATCCAGGGAAATTGCGCCTACTTCCCCTCTGGGCATGCGCGCCAACAGAATGGCCGCGCCCTTTCCTAATAAAATCATTAAGGTGAGGGGGAAGAGAAAAAGTAGACTCGTCTACATTCCACTATGATGTGATTAAGTGGTTAAAACGATATAAGGCACAGTATATAGCAGGTCTGAAAGGTTGGAAAGCTCTGGGCTCTCCTTGCCAGATACGTAGGCCCACGAACCTACGTCTCCGAGGACCCCGGGACTCTCAAACCCGCCCTGGTTCTGCGCTAGAAGAGGAGCCCAGCCACCCGCAGCTAGTTGGGGAGGGAGGTGACCGCCTAGCTGACTTCTCATTGGCCCAGAGTCACAAAAGGCCGCAGCTTCCCCCCCACTCCTGGGCGCTGAGTGGTTGAGGCCGCGAAAGAGCGCCTGTGGTCATTGGCCAAGCCCGGCTGTCAGTCCTTTCGCGTCTCGCGGCGCGGCGCAGCCTGGCGCGGCCTGTAGAGCAGTCTCGAAGCCTGTAGCGGGGAGAAGATGGCGGTCGCAGTGAGAACTTTGCAGGAGCAGCTAGAAAAGGCCAAAGAGAGCCTAAAGAAC